GAGGGATGCAGGACAGGGGGGTACGATTAAACAACATTAGCCGTCATCGAGATGCGTCATCGCGCGGAGAAGTCTGTTTCTTATCGGCGCGTACTCCCTGCGACAATTTAATTTAACGAAATAAATCATAATGCTGGCGAATGGCCGCGAGGGCGCGCACGCGATACCGAAAAACAACAAGACATGGTCGATATTATTAAGCACACGCGCATCTGCATGTTATACTTGTTTCCACAGTCTCTTTGCGCTCCCATGGCGGCGTAACTGTTTGGAGCGACCCTCGGGCAAGCGTCGTTTATCTTCCTCCCGTTTGCTTTTACCATTAGGCTATCGAATTATTGCGCTTCTATCGAGATTACCCAGCATCCAACGCGCGGTCGAGCACTTGTACTCCGTATCGATGATAACAGCCGGTATCGAACTGATTCGATTCCGATTTCTCGGTGTCGGTCGATGGACGTACGCCGATCGTCTCCGTTCCCCGCCGAAAAAACATTTCCAAATTTCCCTCCTCGCAAAATTGCCTCCTCTCAATTGTCGCGCGATATAAAGTTCCACGCTAATTTATTACACGCACCGGAGAGAGCCGATAACGCGTGGAAATGCGATACTCTGGCGATTTATTTGTCGCAAAAGTTATCTCACGCGAAAATCTGTGCGTGCCGGTCATTATGATAAAATCTCCATGACGCGGACAATCAAACATCGCGCTGTTGATATTACGATATTAAAAAGAGGGAGGGAGGGAGGGAGGGGGGAGGTGGGGGAAGGAGGGGAAGAGACAGAGAAAGAAGAAAATATCCCGGGATTCCTGCGCTCTCAGCGCGCTTTGCATTTCGGTTCGTGTGTCGGGTATCGAGCACTCCCGAGCACGCATCTTGAAATGCCATTCCAATTAACAAAATTCAGTGGCTGCGTGTAATGCGTGAATAGGCGGAGAAATCAAATAAAGAGCGCCGCTGGGAACGCCGGTAACTCCATCGGCCTATTCGAATCGCGTTCTGTGTATGTGTGTTCCTTTCTATCCTTTTTTGTGCTCACAAATAAAAGTGTCGTTCCGCGCCTGTGCGTGGATGGATACTGGCCGTTTTGAAAAGAAATATTTTCCAACCTGACTATTTCCACAGGTTTGTAGCGGTTCTACGAAAACTCCGACGAATATGGATGCGTCAAATTCACATTCGCTTTATCTCGTAAGCCACGCGCGTAGCTTTATCGCTATGAAACGGCGCCCGTTTCACTTGGAAAATAAATTTTTCGGCCCTTCTCTCTCTCTCTCTCTCTCTCTCTCTCTCTCTCTCTCTCTCTCTCTATCTGTCGCTCGTCGCTCTCTCGTCGAATACCTAAACGCTTCTCCCTTCGGCTTGAATTTTATCTCGACGGTATATTAAGTTGCGCTCACTGTAGGGCACTCGCGCGACCGCGATTCCTCTTCAGCCGCACTCGTGAGTGCGCGGGCGCATCACGGTTGTTGAGAGTTGCGTTCGATCGACGACTGTTCTGACGACACACACGTACAGAGAGAGAGAGAGAGAGAGAGAGAGAGAGAGAGACGCGAAAAGCAACACAGGTCCCTTGTTGCGCAGCGCGCGACGTGTGTTGCCGCGTCGTCATAGATGTGCCTAGCGACGGCAACGATTTTGACAACGGTTCCGAAAACTCATTAAAGCCCGTTCTTTCCGCGACGTGATTATTGTTTCAAGCTCGCCTTGTTTAACGCGCCGCGAGTTAACGTAAAAGCTCCCGGCGCGGGTAAACGCGGAAAAAGCAATTAAGTGAGAGAAGCGGCGGCGAAAGGGATTAAAGCGTTTTGAATGAATCACGCGCGTCTCCAGCGGACCGCGGAATAATGTGCGTGGAGAAGTAGTTCGGGCAAGAGGTTTTTCCGCGCGATTCAACAAATTGGTGCGTCGCTTTGGCTGCGCCCGCGAGAAAAGCGTTTACCGACGGCTCGCAACGAGAGGTAGGATCGAGCAAACTGCCGCGTCGCTCTGCGTCCCGTTCCTCTTTCTCCTCCCTCCTCCCTCCCTCTCTCCCTCTCTCTCTCTCTCTCTCTCTCTGCCTCTCTGCCTCTCTGCCTCTCTCTCGTTTGGAAATAAAACAATGTGCAGCGAACGAGTGTCGAAGTGGCGGCACGGTACACGGACCGTCAACCAGCGGGCGAGCGACAAGAGGCCGGCGCGCAGTGATTGTGCGTGCATCATTTATTGTTGTCACGACACAATAATTCTATTTCCGGAGCGGCCCCGATTAATCATTGGCGGGTCGCGTGATCACTCAGGCGCTGTTTCGAATCTATTTCCACCATTCAGACTTCCAAGTGACAGAGCGGCGGACGGGCGCGCGATACTCGCGCGCGCGTTGATACGCATTGCCGTTGCTTCGCGCTGAATAGTCTGTCTCGTATCAAGGGATTTGATTAATTCTATGCATTGTGTCCTTCGGGCTGTATGTCGACGAGTGCGAGAGGGCGGGTGGGAGGGGGGAGGGGGAGAGTAGGTGAGGGATCTTACGAGCGACTATAGTCGATATTGCGAATCCCCGTCGCTCGACACGAGCGATCGTGTCCGCCCTCGGCCGCTCGCTCGAGCTCGCGAAGCTCGCGAAGCTCGCGAGCTTTCCGCGCGCGCTTTTCGCGCGGAGACTTTCAAGAGGCGCGGCGGATCGAGCGTCGAAGAGTCGCGAGAGAGCAGCAGGTACGTACAGCAGCAGGCCACGCTAACGTGTACGCGCATTGAGATTACCGCATTCCCGTTCACTTGGACGATACTAACGGGCTATTTACCGATCTGTAATTACCATTCCGAGCGAATCGGGGTGGGGTGGTGGGCAGGGGAGAATGGTATAGTCCGCGGGCAATTTCGTTCTCACAGGTCTGTGCTGGCCGGCAACGTGTGTCTACGGACACTCGATCGTCCGGGGCTTCGCTTTCCTTGCTGAATTCAATTTCCCTGAGTCCACAGCGGCGGATCGCAGGTGCGTCAAGTTGTCTCGGCCGGCGGAGATTGCATTTTAGCGTACGGAAAGAAAGTTGTCGTAGTTTTTGGCCATTGATCGATACGACCGGCGCGCTCTTGGCAAACGCCGTAAGTTTGACTCCCGCGTTGCCGCTGGAGAAACTTCGGCGCGTTTGAAGTTTCGTTACTTTCGGAAGATGCACGCTATTCTTTACGCGTCCGCCGAGATGCGGCTGGTGAGCGGCAATTATCCGCGACCTGCACGAGATCGTCGACGGAGTCGAGCAGTCGGTACGATATTCGCCCGACGATACGACAGCAGTTGCGCAGGATCTAATTCCTACCTGCGCGAAATTAGTCCCTCTAATCAAGAGCCTCGATATCTCGGAGCTTCGCGCACACTCGGAAGATTCGAGTCTTCAAAATTCAATTATTCCAAGCTTCCAAGCTTGACACGTAATAAACTCCGTGCTGTCTCTAATTTTCGTTGCGCGTGTACATTTCATTGCGCGTGTCTCTCAAGACATGGTTTGGCAATCTATCAGCGCGGCCTGGTCGCGGCCACGATACAGCGATACAGTATTAATCGAAACGAACCTGAAAATCCCCCCCGACGGCGCTCCTCGCGGTTTACGGGTAGATGACGAGCGTTGCGCCGCGCGCGCGGATGAACGTTAAAATAGTCCGACGGATCCGTTTCGCGGCTCCCGCAACGAAGCGCGGAAGGTCGAAGGTGTATCGATCTAGCAATTGTGCCGACGACCGCGGAGTAATCGCGATGGAGTCAATAATCCATGATCCGCTCAGCCTGGGAACAGCTCTATTCCGACGTGTAATTGGGATCAGTGCTTATCTGTTGGCGCACAGCGTGTTCCGGCCTCCGACTCGTCTCGTCCTCCGTCTCCCTCCTCGTCGCGCGCCCCTCGCCTTCTTCCGACGCCTTCGTGCGGTACGTGTATACCGTGACAATATTTGTGCTGGGAATTAAAGTATCGGCCGGCCGATCCGCTCGTCGTGATTCGCCTCGATTGATTTTCGCCGAGGCAATATGACTTTTCGGGACTGTGTTCCGAACAACGTGGACATTTTTTGCCGGGGCTGGCGAATAGGATACGTCGGCTTTCGAATCGAAATTGATTTCCCCCTCCCCCACCCCGCGCGGGGGACAGTGTACACGGCGCGTTACCTCGCCTGCGATATAACGTAATATAACGTGGCTTTGTTTAAATAATCCCTGTCTCCGTGGAAAGGCCAGACGAGCAGCGACGGCGCGGCCGGCGCGGTCGTCGCTTGCGAGACCGTTTGAGAGACGTAGCGCGTTTTCAGCGCATACGTTTCCGACGCCGACGCCGACGCGACGGCGGAACGCCATCAACGGCAGCATAATGATATTCAGAACTTGCAGCGAGACTAGAGGTGCGGTGCTCGCTCGCTGTCGAGGAGCGTGAACATTTCGGGATGGATACGGAGACATATTTCAGCTGCGCACGTGCTCTCATCGCTCGCTGGCGCACAGTTTGCCGCGTGATGTGTCGCGCGAAATTAAACTGTTTTGCGTCAGTAAATTCGGCGCGCGCGCGCGCGCCGATACAGCGAGAAACGCCGCAAACGAGTCACTCTGAGTCACGCGCCGTCACTCGAGTCGGATTCCGCGCGCTGAGATTTTCCCAGGTCCTTCGACCTTCCGCCGAAGGTGAAACGTCCTGTTCGCGCGCGCGCGGTATTCGACTCGCTGGGAATCCGACGGGCGAACGACGACTCGCGGCGAATGGAATGTTAATTTGAGTTTAATCACCGGCTGGAGAATTTCCGCGCGCGTGCTATCGCGAAAATATATATATATATATATCGCGATATCGCGGCGGCGTCGCGCCGCTGGCACGTGGTAAATTCCACGCCGCCGATCGCGCACGATCTCGCGCGTTATCCTCGCGCGCCGAACGGGCGCTTTCATAGCGGCCGGCGACGTCGTCGGACGACGCGCCGCGACGCAACGAAATGTAGTTAATGGATCACTTAGCATTTAACGTCGCCCTGTTTCAGAGGGACCCAGCTTCAGCGCGCCAATAACAAACGTGACGGTCCCGGTGGGTAGAGAAGCTATCCTCGCCTGCGTCGTGGCGAATCTCTCCATGTACAAGGTAAGCTGCCAAAAGCGCGACATCCTTTAATCCTGCACACAGCGCGTTCGTCGGATCCGTTGTACTTTCAGGGTAAACAGAGAGAGAGAGAGAGAGAGAGAGAGAGAGAGAGAGAGCACGCGCAAATGACGTCCCTCGCAAAAATACCGCCCGACTCGGGAACGCTCGCGCGAATAAATGTAACGCGGACTCGAAATTCTTTGCGCGCGCAGACCCGAGGAAACGAGGGCGAATAATTCGCGAATTCGATTTAAAAAATGGAACGCTCCGATAAGTCGGCACAGCAGTCAACGAAGTGCGGCGGCTCCTTGGAAAGTTCGCCGCCGCTGGAATAAAGATGAACATTTCGCGACGCATCGGAGCGGCGCGCGCGCATGCGAGTTCACCGGGACGAAAAATGGAAAATCGTTATACACTGATAAACAAAGTTTAATTTAACTGCCAGTTACAACGGACATATCCTGCGGACTTCATTGCCGGCGAATGTATTCGCCGGCACGCCGCGGAAACGTGGGAGAGTGCACGAATGGGTTTCGCCTCCGTGCGCGCGCGACAAACATCGTTCACCGTGAGTCCGCAAAGTCTGATGAATTAAAGTTCATTCGTCACGTAGCAAAAATTTATCCCTGTCGTGCATCGCTATCGCCGACGTATCCTTTGTTGCATTGTGTGCGCGCTGCGGTCCCGTAGAAAAGAGAGGGAACATTCCGCGTTACAAACCGGCCGTTGCAAATCCGCCGAGATCGAGATTTAGTAATAGAGGAAGTCCCCCCGCGCGCCCCGACGACGAATATTCGTTGTGTTTTTCGTCGCCATTTTTACGCCGAGGCCAGATGAAAGAATCCCGATGCGCGCGCGGGAAAAGCGCCGACGCGGAAATGTGTCAGTGGAGCGCGCCCACATTCATCCTGTATCTCGTTCTCGCTAGTTTCCCTTTTCTTGAAAGTATATTGCCGGGATTCCATTCTTACTTCGAACTTTTCGGGAACGTCAAATAATGCGAGTTTCCACCATTACGTGAAAAACATTCGCCGAATTCCTGCGATGTTCACATTCTCAAGACGCGCTGCGAATTCCCGCCGGTGAATCACATATTTCGCGATCCAGCGACGCAGTTTTGGAAAACCTCCGCTTGCTTCTCTTCGCCGCCCGCCGCGCCGCGCGCCGGTGCGGTGCCGGGAGTATTGCGTCCTGCAAAGAGATACGGACAGCGATATTAAACGCAGGCAGGAAAGATGCGCGCGAGTGTATATGATTTCGCGTATTCGAGCGGTGCGACGGTGACGCAATCAAATCGCAGTCTGCTCGTAAGAATTCTCGACGCGTTCACGGATGCGCTCTGAAAAATACATTGAGACAGTTTCACGAGAGAGAGAGAGAGAGAGAGAGCCTTCACACGCGACGAAATAAAATAAAACGAAAAAAATATGGCGATAATGGAGGAGAGCGAGAGGGGATTTCAGGGGAGCGCTCCGGGAGTAATCGCGTATGAAGTGCAAATATTTGGAAAGTGGCCTGTTTGACAGACTTAGAACGGGCTTAGCTTAAGTACGTCAGATTAAGCCAGGATATTGCGCAATTACGGCCCGCAGAGGACGAAAAGCGTTCATATCGCGCTCTCGCGCTTCCTTCGTAGCTTACCTAACACCATAACGCCCGGAATAGGGTTTTAATCTCAAAATATATTATTCGGAAATTAAAGGGGCCTCGGCGACGAGGTGCGCGGTGGCGAGACGCCGTCGTGCGGTAAGGAGAGAACCTTGAAGACCGCCGGAAGAAAATTCTTTGTAATTATACGCGATTGTGCTGCAATTAGTGGGTACGGGCACGTTACACTTTATTCGTCGCTGCAGCAGTGAAGGAAAGATGTATACTTAGCGCTAAGTACCGAGACAACGTGATATCTTTACCATCCCTCGGTTGTTTAAACGTACAGAAAGTGCGCGTACACACACACACACACACACACACACACACACACACACACGCGCGCGCGCGCGCGCGTATACTCACCGAGACTCACTAAATCTTCCATACTCGCCGCTTGTTTAAAGTACGAGCGGCGCATCTCCCGAGTTCTCGTTTAACCGTCAAATTGCCGCAAACCTACCTACCTACCTACCTACCTACCTACCCAAAACTTGCCTGCTGGAGTAGCGCCACTCCTGGACCATAATTCGACAACACAGCGCGTCTTAAATGGGTGGCATGGCGAAGATTTGCGGCGCCTTAAACGACAGTAAGCGGTGAAAGTTTACTGCATGCGGCGGGCGCGTTCAACTCCGCCTTCTCGTTCCGGCTGGAGCGATGCTGGGGCGGCGAGGCAGCAGGAATCGGCCGACATTCGTTCTCAGAGCATCCGAAATGAGAGACATATCTCATCTCCGATAAGAGCGGAATTTATTTAGAAAAATATGTGCGACATTCTTGACCAAATGGAATCCCGATGATCGCCGCCTTTCATCTCGGCGCGAAAGTGGCCGCGCGTGGCTACCTCATCGCGTCGACGACGACGATTCCTCCGAGTCAGCCGGCTGTTTCTTTTCCGAGTCGCGAGGCCGCCTCGCATTCAGGCGAAATGATTCGCCAAACGTTGTCCTAACGACTGCGCGGCTAAATGGAGCCGATCGATCTCTCCAGCGCGTCATGAGAAATAGTCCCGTGGAAATGCCATTTTCATCGTGGCGCGAGGCTCGTGTCGTCATTGTAATCTCACGCTGCCTGGAGTAATATATCGTCGAGTGTAAGTAAGCCAGACGGCGAGATCGGTACATCCCCGGCGCGTGTCAAGAAAACGTTGCGTAATACCCCAATGTTACTTTGCATCACGCATCACGCGTTGGCCGCCTAAATTTCGCCGCAAACGAGAGCTCGCTAGCTAGCTAGCTAACTAGCTAACTAGCTTGCTCGCTATATAGTTCGCTCTCACTCGTCCGCTCGTTCGTTCGCTCGCGCGAACGGGAGGCTTGTTCGCATCGCGCAGGCAGTTATGAGTAAGCGGCGAGGAGAAGGTGAGACGGCTCGACCCTGTGATGTAGGGTCCTCCGCGTGTTGGTACACGTGAATGTTAATCAGAATGGGATTTACATATGAGGCTCGTATTACCTGGTAGTCGGGCAGATGCACCGGGAGGAGAAGATAACGGCCTCCAGAGAGAATGGAGGGGGGATTTAGGAGAGGTTGAGGGTTGCGTCGGTGTGTCGGCCGCAAGAGTCACACGCGGCCTATCTGTAATAACGTGCCACGTAAGACATAATTATATATCACGCCGGGATTATTGCCGCATTTACACTGCGCCGCGCTAACAATGAGAATTCGACAATGTTGCCTGCCGTATTACGTAACTGCGGGGACGCGAACATATATCTCGTCATTCCGCGCGACTCGATTGTATGCGGCAGGCAGGCGACAAAGTTATCTCTCTCTCTCTCTCTCTCTCTCTTTCTCCCCCCCCTCTCTCTCTCTCTCTCTCTCTCTCTCTGTTTCGCCGTTGAACGACGGCAGATAATAATGATATAGCACGCTCGATCGTAAACCGGCGTTACGATTATTATCGCCTTTTACGCGTTAAGCCTCGGCGCGGCTCGGTGGGCCGCCGCGCGCGGATGGCTGAAGTGCGATGTCATCGCGTTGAAAAATTGTCTTCTGATTACGCTTTAATCGAACTTCTGAATTATTGATTGGAGTTTCATGCAAATTCGGAGAGCCATAATGGTAGCCATCAAGCGGTTAATCACATTTTGCACGATCGATACTTGCCGACTATTACTCGTCGCTCTTAGCTATACTGCCGCGGCTACGACTAATTTCGTTCGAATGGTATGGAAAGTGCATGATAAAAAAGCGAGAGATTGTCAGTCAGTCAGAGAGAGAGAGAGAGAGAGAGAGAGGGAGAGAGAGAGAGGGAGGGAGAAGGGGGGAGAGACAGAAAGACAGGGAGAGAAGGGGAGAGTACAGTGATATAGAGGAACTATATCACGGTTGGGCTGAAATGCTTACGCTATGCGGGTTCGGATACGATGCTATCTGCGCGATATTCGATATCATTATCCGCTGTCGCGTATATTATTGTCCTCGTATATCATCCATGTAACGCTATATCGCTAGTTTCTTCGCTGATGTTTCGCAACATATCGATCCGATGTATCCGATATAGAGTTCATTCAGAATGCAACCGTTTCAATCGGTTGATTTGCAATTAGAGAAGCTCTCTCCCCCCCCCCCTCCTTCCCGCTTTGTCGAAACTCCCGAATGTCCGGTGTCGCGTATTGTCAGCCCGCACGCCTATCATCGTAATCCCAGCGGGGACTTTCGCGATCGTCTGAGAGACGGCACCGCTCGCGATGGAGAATTGCAGCGACCGAGACGCACACAACACAATAGACAGTCACGACTGTTCGACGTTATTATTATCATTGTCTGCATACTGTCACACTCCTGGTCTCTCGCTCGCTAAGCTCGCCGTCGGTCCTTCGGCATGTGTTCGCGACTTCGCAATCATTGCAGTGCTCCAAGGTGCTGTTCCTGACGTCGCGTTTGCGTTACATCGCGCGATACAACTTTCGGCATTTTCGGATGCCGCCGTCTCTGCTGCCGCGTGGACACGACGTAGCATCCTGCTGCTCAGGAAGTATTCCCCGTCGTCGTCGTCGTCGTCGTCGTCGCGTATTAACGGATTCCTCTCGACCGCAGGAAGACTCACATGTTACCGGTGCGGACGGTCGATCTAAAGGGATACCATCGCGCCGTAAACGCGAAAGCTTTATACCTCGTTCGACGGAAATCACATTTCTCCTCCCGGCGCTCTGTCGGAGGAGCAGGAGCGACCGGTTACTGCGGAGGTTCGTGCAGGAGCCATCGAAATAAACGGAACGACTTAACTTCGTGTTTCGGTGCATTTCGGGAAACCGTGAAAACGGGGCATTTTCCATTTGATCGAGAGAGCGCCGTACCGATCCCGCGTGGCCACTTCCCTTTAGATTACATTCGTGGCCGTCTCGTAATCCTCCGCGAAGGACATCAGCCATGGCGTCGTACGACCGCGTCGAACGCGCAGAAAGACAGGCGTCCGTTCGTAACCTGCGAACGTTTTCATGGCTCTCTTAAAATCGGTCAGAGCTTACTCGTCGGTTACTTACCGTCGTCGTCGTCGTCGTCGTCGTCGTCGTCGTCGTCGTCGTCGTCGTCGTCGCCGTAGTCGTCCTCGTCGCCGTCAGCATCAGGTTAGGCGAGTTTATGCTCGACGCACCGGTCGTGCCGGCCCGTTACAGGAATCTTGGACGCGGACATCGGATCGTCGCTCGAGAAAATTACGTCGCGGAAAACAAGTCTACTGAAGTATTCATCACGCGTAACGGAAGGGCGCTACTAATTCAACCAGTTGCTGTTGGACGCGCGCGCGTGTATGTGTGTGTGTGTGTGTGTGTGTGTGAGCGTGCGTGCGTGCGTGCGTGTGCGGTGTGTAAATAGGTATATACGTGTGTACTTTCAAGCGTGTGCGTGTGTGTGTGTGTGTGCGGCGGGGAGGGGGTGAGTGCACACCCGTTCTATGTGAAATATTGACTCTTCCTGGCCGGACTCGCGTGCCCAAACTTTATCACGATCGAAATTAACGGAAGCTCTCCGCTCTGCTTTTCGGGCTTTTTTGTTTATCACAAATCTCTGTCCGCCGGATCGGCCGCGATTCATTAGCCCTGACGAATGATAGGGTCAGCGTACGGCGCGCGGTATGGTCGGCGGATCCGTTCTTAATTGTCTGTAATGTTCCCCCGGGGATGTGAGGGGAGCTCTCTACATGTGCAATTTCAGGCTCACCCCGACAGATACTCCGGCAGGACAAGCGACGATGTCGTTTCGCCAAATCAGACCTTTCTCGTCAGTCCGATTCGTCGCGCGGTTTCGCATGAGGGGTATCTCGCGAAAAAAAAAAAAAGCGAAAAAGGGAAAAAAAAGAGCAGAAAACCGAGAGCCTCTATCACGGTCTGAATTTGCGAATGGGAAATGGGTGAAAGCATTATCTCTCGATCTATCATCGTACGCTTTCTCACGATGAATGCATGCATGCATGAATGCGCGCCCGATGCGTGACTGCGCTTTCGTATAAATAAATCAATACGGGGCATTCGTCTTCATTCGTTTCGCGCGGCGCGTAAGTATCGCCGAGCTCGTTGCTCACCATTTGGATATGCGAACGTCGCACAATAGTCGAGGTTAATACGACTTTGCACTCGCTAATACCGCCTCATAAATAATAATAATTCACGTTAGACGTCCTTTCTTCTTTTGTTTTCCCCGCCGCGCCGTGCGCGCGCCTTTTTAACTCGCCAAAGTGTAATTAGCCAAATTGACGCGTCGGCGAGAAATAAAACGCTGCTCCAGAATACGACTGTTGTTTCAGCAGTATCGTTTGTAACGGCACGGCCGTTATTGTCGGGTTCGTTATACACTGAGTTGATGAAATAATCACTGAAATGCGCGTTTACGGCGAAACATTTGATTGTCGGTAATTCAATTGTTTTTGTCATGGGGTGGAATTATAAAAATAATCCGGCAGAAGCGTGCCAATGTTCGTGCATGCACGCTAGGTGATTTAGCATTTATATCCCCCTATTATCTCGAAATGAATACGCGCGAAAATTATCTTCCGGACAAACGAGCGCGATACTAAATTAAAATAACGAAACGCATGTTATCGATCGTCCCGCTCCTTTTTTTCTCCTTCGTGCCGCTGCAAATTTCACTGGATATGCGCGTATATTCGCGAGAGTGAGAGAGAGAGAGAGAGAGAGAGAGAGAGAGAGAGAGAGAGCGAGAAAGAGGGGGGAAGCGAGAGAAATCTGTTGCAGCCGGAAAAGTTTTCCCATAGATACAGATTCGATAAAGGCTCTCGGCGAAAGCAACGACCGACCCCGAGCGTTAATACGACGATCTCGTCCCCTTACATCTGACCTTAATCGTTAAGGTTAATTGTTTCTGGCACGAGCCGGAAGATAAAAATCGACCGCCTTCCGAGTAACTCCGGCCAACTTTAGCTTTATCGTTATCGTCCTGATCTTCGACGGATGTTAGCGGGATCGCGCAGGAGCGACGACATTGTCGCTCGACTTTCATTTTATCGCGCTCGGAGTGCGCGACGACGTGCGCGCGCGCGCGCGCGCGCGCTCGCGACACTGCCACGTCGGTTAACGAGGGCAGTTAACGAGGGAATTAAAGTCCTCGAACGATGATTTCTCATCGATCTGCTTCGTCTTAATCAGCGGCTTTGCGGGGCCGTAAGATATACGACCGCAAAGCGCAAAGCAAATAATTATAGCCTATACAGGGACGATCAATGGCGTCCAATATTTGCGATAGATTTACCGCGCCGGCTACTAGTTACACGTTAAACGTCAGGAACTATTGTCAATTGCTCCCGTGTCACGGATATTTGCTCGTGAATAATTGATGAGATTCCCTTCCGAAGCGGGGCGCATGCACGGATTTAGATATTTCAAGATAACGTGGCCCGACAGATTGTTTCTCGCTTCATTCGGCCAATTTCTCCTCTCCATTAGAGCATTTGGAACGGAAGGATCTTATTCGAGAACAGAGAGTCACGGAGAGGGACAGATATTTCAGCTTCGTATTGATTTCGCAACTCGTGACCCGCGAGTATAAAAAAGAGAGTCGGGAAATGTTTAACATATGTTACATATACATCTATAGATTCTCTCGCACGTTCAAGCGGCCAACGGGGTATTCCCGCCGATATTCCCGCCTCTTCACTTCGGCCAGTTTCACTTTCAGCGCGGTGTTATACGCAAAAAATATTTTATCTCCTCGTCGTTAGCCTAACCCCGGGATAACTCGTCGGCGTGTGTATTACACGTGGCTAAACCGAGATAAACGTTAAAGCGCGCTGCTTAAGAGCGGGAATTTCTAACACTTCCCAGGATACTCGAGAAGACGTTGCGCGCGTACGAAGTACTCCGGCCGACCATTTTGTTAGTTTCCTTCGTGGTTACCGCGAGTTAAACTGAAAGCACGGCTCCGTTGCAATGCTTACGAGTGGTCGAAGTGCAATTTAAGCTCGAAGGGACTTAAACTTTCAGGAACGGGCAACGCAACTGGTAAGAGTCTTACGCTCTTTGCGCGAGCACTGTGAGCATACAGTGAAGAAAGACAGCTTATGTGTCTGCCTAAGTATAGTTGCGCCGTAACAAACGATGAGGACCGATCCGATGCGCGTTCTGATAACGCGAGTTCGGAAATCAAGAAACACACTTCGCGAGAAAATCTACACGGTGACGTGGATTATTAAATCTCCTCGTATAATCGATCGAGAGCGAAAGGGAGCGATGTCGGCGCGGATAACGCTATATAGTTATTACGACATTATTAGAGAGACGACGGTATCGCTGTATTAGCGATAGAAGCTCTCGCAACGAATACTTTTTGAGAATCTCATTAATTGATTGAACTTTCGTATCAAAGTCGTAATCGGCTCATTTTAATTCTATCTGTCCGTTACGTATAATGAAGTCGCTCATGATGAGAATCGTTTCCTTCCTACGGGAGCATTTAACCATCCGAGTAGGACGCTGCATATTAAGGAGGAAGTGGAAGAGAGAGAGGAGAGGGAAAGAGAATTCCAAGTTGAATCATCCGTAGACTGATCGGATATCGCATTGTTAGATTAACTACGCCGGGATATCGCTCGCGCCTTTACTAAAACGTGACAGATAAATCATGCATGTATTCAATAATTTGATGTAACAAATCCCCCGTTTCGTCCGCGTATAAAAGATACGCTGTTGCGCTTCTCCCATGAGAATCCGTTGATTTATTATAGACGTACCGCCGGAAATATAATCGATTTAATAATTAATGAGGATAGCCGCTCTCTCCGATAATGACGGTACCAAGAGTCTACGCCCGCAGCGGGGGCGAGCGGGGGGCGGTCGACGAAAACGAAAGATGGGGAGAGGAAAAACTGGGGAGAGGAGAGAAATGCAAAAATTACCGCATCGCGAGATATCTGCTTTACGAGCGAATGAATTGTTGAATCCTTCCCCCGGAGGACCTTCAGTCCCTTTCGCGATAACTCGTTGAATCCATTATCACGCCCGTAGACACGAACGATACCGCAGAACGGTGCTGTGCTGCGCACATACGTTTCCTTATATTACGCGGTATATTTCTCGACGGTGGTACACGCGCAATATTTGCTCGGAGCGATACGCGAGAGCGTAGTCGGTTATTATTTAACAGGCTGGCGCAATGTATCGCGCATTTTGACACCCTGCCGGCCCGTTTTTGTGAAATACGGCTGTAAGATCCGCGCGCGCGCGCGCACGGTGCCATTTTTCGCGTTACCGTTAGCGTTTTTTGCAGCTCGGCGCGGCGCCGTCGCGCTTTGAATACCGGACGCGCGTCGTAACAGCGACAATACTCGATATAGCTACGACAGTAGCCCGTTTCAATGCAAATCTGGAGCTTCCCCGCTTCACACACAATAATTATTATTACAATGTAAACTATATTAATAATTCGTATCGGTCGAGCGTGCATTGCATATTGCATGAGGAAGCGGCGTAAATGTCGATGTCGCGCGACCTGCCATTAGACCGACTGGGATCTGTACCGATTGGCCGGGTTTAAAAATGATTACAGTTCTGGATTTCTTCTTGTTCTCTCTCTCTCTCTCTCTCTCTCGCTCTCGCTCTCGCTCTCTCGCTCTCGCTCTCTCGCTCTCGCTCTCTCGCTCTCGCTCTCTCGCTCTCGCTCTCTCGCTCTCGCTCTCCCCCCCTCTCCCTCTCGCCCGAGATACCCACTTGAAATATTCGGAGCACCTCCGCCAGTGGGAGAATTTAATTATCTGATAGTCAACCGATCTATCTCTCTGTCCCTCGAGGAAATATATGTGCCCTTACCACTCTGTGCGGCTGAATTCCGGAAGTGAGTGCACCGCCACCGCACTCCTCCACGCTGGAAATAGGAAAAATTTTTATTTCGTTTTCGTTTCATGAATAGATTATCTATCTGTCGTAATTGATCGTCGTGAAATATCGCGAATTTATCGAGAGCAGGACATTGCGCGAGCGCGCGCTACGACGTTATTAATAGGCGCGTATAAAGGCAAAGGGCCGCTTATTTCATTACATCCGCGAGCGCGAGCGGTAAAATATCACGGAGACCTCAAACTGCCGCGGTAACTAGCGATAACTAGAAAAATTTGTTCCGCTTTATCGGCGGGAATACTCGCGCCGTTTTCATTTCATTCTTTATAGAGAGATTCTCGTGCGGGGTAACTGATCACCCTCGTGAAAATATTGCGGCCTGATCAACGGGGTCAGATAGCGAATAGCTGGCTGTAACTCATATAGATCATTTATTACACCGTATGCTGGAATCGGGAAGAGAACGGTTGAAGCAACTCCGCCGGTTTGATAACGCGGTATATTTCACGGCGAAAAGTTTAAATCACAATTATCGCGCACTTATTTAAGCGTATCGCGAATTCGTTCAGCGTATTTGACATGTGTAATTTACATTGTTCTTTGCCTCTCATTCGGAAATTCTCGCAGCGTTTGTTAAACAGTTTAAATGGGAGAATATCGCTGAAGCGATTTTTATTCTTCCCTTCCCATTTTGCTTTCTATTTTATTCACTCGGCTTACGTATTGATATTTTCGATATAGCTGACCGATTTCCAATGTGATAAATGTATCAGCGACAAACTGACCATCACTGCTACCGCGTGAAACAATTCAATGATGACGCTATCTTATTGGTATATTCCGACGAGTAGCATTAAATGTAGCTGTAAAAATTTATTAAATGTATCCGATTTCCGAGTTATTAAAAAAAAAAAAAGAAAAAAACTTAAAGTCAGAGAATCCCACTTTGAAATACGAAGTTGGAAAACAATATGAAAATTTCCTGAAATTTTTAACGAGGAATTGAAGAGTCGATCGCACGAACGCTCTATCAGACGATCGTATATACTCGTCGGAAAAACATTCTGAATTCTACTCCTGAAAACTTTTCTTTTGCGTTTTTTCCCCCTCTCCTATGGTCATTACCACCGCTATTCATTTACCTCCTCCATTCTTCCTCCTGAGAGATTACCGCCTGATCTTAGGATTGAGGAATTAATTTTACAACAGGAGGCTCTCAGACTGTCGTTAAGCCAGTGCCGGCTGCGATTGTGTGCGGTTCATGCGAAAATTATTGTCGATTTTAACAGCTCGCTATTATTAAGCGCGTATTGTTTCGTCTCGCGCCTCTCGCGTTAAGAAAAATCCGCATTCTCGTTAGACTGCGTACGTGAAAAGGGTCCTTTCGTTGACAATACAAAACTTGCATCGGACGATAAAGTTTCAGACCGCCGCCGACGTCGGAACTAATCGCCGTTGCTGGCGCGCCCAATTGAATCCGTTCATGTTCTTTATGTGCGAATAAACGGTTAATGATTCAGCGACTCACGTCCGTTAGACCGTTGGTCGTTAACATATCCGTCTGTCCAGCCGCATACGGCCCGGCACTTTCCTACCAGGGAAACTGTATGACAGGAGAGTAAATTTTCCGGTCGAGCACGGTTGCTGTAGTATCGAATTTCGCACTTTCGCGACGCGAGAACGGAGTGCGCGCGAGACAGACCCGGCGCTCTGCGATGTGCATTTCCCGAAAACATAAACGTAAAGAATATTATATGAGCGTAAAGAAATTAAATTCACGTAGCGCGCTCGTGCTCAAGTTTTTCCAACGTTCGCCGATTTTTCCATCACGATTCGCGTGCTCGCCGTGCTTCGCCGATTTTTCCATCGCGATTCGCATGCTCGCCGTGCTTCGCCGAAAAATGGCAGGTTACGAGGTAAATTCACGAACCCGTGAATCATGAGAGACTACGACCTCTGTTAAGCTGGCACTCTCACAAATCATAAAAAATCGAAATGTGGACTGCGGCAGAATTAAGCGCCAAATAAGCGATGTGCATCCCTGATTTTAGCGCTCGAGCAGTTTAGCAGGAATTCGCGTTTTTGGAAATGGAGTCGCCGTTCACTCACGTCACTCACCTTCAACATCTGCGCTTCCCGCGAGAAGAGAAAACCGAGCTGAAAGGTGTACGTGCTGCAGCTTTTAGCGCTTCTTATATTTTACCTACTCGTAATATAATATAATCTGGATCTTTTTATCTCAGCTGGTAGCTTAACGAAGGCGAGAGACTACGGGCATCAATACGTACGAGCGCACGTAGATCGAAAAATGCGGCGGGGATTACCAAATCGATGTACTAAACGGGTTTAACGGGGCAGGAATAATTAGGGTGTTGGCACCGAGCCGAGAATCGGCCTCGCAGAACAGATTTGAACTGAGAGAGGGTCAGCGCTCGTGCTCTATCTATTACACGCATTATCACCCTTAGCTCCGCCGTGTGCGCCTCGTTTGTGTCTGCAGTAAATATCGCGCGATTAAAGTACTCGCCGCGATTATGCCGAAAGGATCCCGCACAGATATCCTGATATCGTTTTACGCGTGTAAACATGACCGGCGGCGCGAGCTCTCGCCGGATCATAATCTTTCAAGTTCCAGATATTCGCGCTGTGTGAGCAAAGTTCAAATATCGCCGTAATTGACGCGTATGAATTGCAGCGGTCACGTGTCCCCCTCCCTTCCCCCCCCCCTCCCGTCCCCCGTGGGGACGTCCTCTGTTTCCACTTTTCCCGTGGCAATTTTGTTTAACGGAACAACACAACGGTGCGCGGCCACGTAGTGAAAGAAATTGCCAATATTTCGGATTGTATTTAGAGCGCTGCTGTTCCGTTTTTGTTGGGAAGACACGGCTGCATATCGTAGCGCCATTACAGGATTGGTAGTCCGGTCACCAATTTCGGTTCCGTATTGATCAACGACGTCCTCCCCCCCCCCCCTCCCCGCCCGTTGGCGCGGCGGGGGCCACACGGATAGACACGGAGAAAGAATTTATGTCCATTTGAGAAATTACAAGTATCATTCTCGACGTTTTTATATCGCGGTCGGCGCGGCGGCGCGAGCGCGTATCGACGGACGGCGCAGTTTGTAACGTGTCAAACGTATAAAGTACGACGCATCGTCGGCCGGGACGTCGGTCGGCATCAATCGCTTAGCGGGAATGACAGATGAGAAAGAGAGCGCGACTGTAAAACTGTTACATCGCACGCAACGCAACGCTCGGATTTATGATCGCGCGGGCGATGGCTCGCTCGCGGCCGGCCGCTTTGCGCATAAAAAATTCAGTAATAAAGAGAATTATGAACAATGTCATGATAACGGTTCATACGAATTTCATTGACGCGCCACGAGCGCGCGCGTCAAACAGTGCAGTCGGCACGTCGAGGCCGTTACTTAACAAGCGGGTTAAACATTTTCGATAGTTAGTCACCGTCATCGCTCTCTCTCTCTCTCTCTCTCTCTCTCTCTCTCTCTCTCTCTCTCTCATTCGACCGCCTAGCTTTTTTCCCGCGGCTTTTCGGAACATATTATTTAGCGGTATTACATTTCGATTAAATGACGTTATTCTACGTGGTACAACGTGGCACGGTAGCACGTGCGGCGTATTGTGAGCACTTCGCCGCGTAATCATGAACATCGCTCACCCGATTGTCCACCGTCGCTGATTGTGTTTTTTAAATATACACGCGGCCGATGTTGCGCTGTGTTTTGCTAAACTGCCGGCTGCTCGTCCGGATATCTCGTTTATATTTTCACGTCGTTTCGCGTCGATGAAACGTTTCTTCGTTCTTCGGTGTTCTGTTATTAAAGAGACTCGCATTCGGCGAGAAGTGAAACTTTATTATCGATTAAGCGTGATCAATTACATCGACGTTGGTCGACGATTTTAGCGGGCAATCTGTCTCGCGCGCGCGCGTTTCTTCGTAGCGATAATTTAAACGGGTTTTCGGCTAAATATCGCGCGCGCGCGCGCGTGAGATATAAAATTGTGCGGAAGATCGACCGCTGCGCTGCGTGTTAATGAGCGAACAGCAAACCGCGAGTTGCAAACCGAGAACGAGACAAATGAGGCGTTTTTCTTTTCCTTTTTCCTTCGCAACATCATGGAGCGTGTATGCGCCGCGAGCGGAAGATTTTGGATCTAAATATATTTTGAAACTTCCTCCGTTATCGTACCTAGTGATGCATAATCAACGCGGCATTTACATAAGTGCATCGAGCAGGCGCAGTCAACCGCGATAGATCGAGCCCTGCTAGACCGAGCCCTGCTTCTACCGAGATGAAATTTTCTTGGACCGTTTATCACGCGGATTGCCTGTTATCTATTTGTGTCCTCTCGGTCGGGATTATTAAGCTTCGCGGCGTTACAGTTGAGCAGATTCCGGCATTCACCAGTCGTCAGTTTCGTTAGACCCGCCGATCGTCGATTGTCACTGCATCACAATATTCGCTCTTAATCAACGAAAAACGGCGAGCACGAATTGCAAACCGTCATAGATTACATTTAGCAAATTGTTCGCGCGAAAGAGAGAGACAGAGAGAGAGAGAGAGAGAGAGAGAGAGAGGGAGGGGGGGTGAGGAGGGTAGGAGGGAAGAGAAGGATAACGACAAACGTTTTCGTTTCAGCCAGGCTCAAAATGAAAATCCGTGCGAACTCGACTCCAAGACTGTGAGAGAATTACTTACCATAAATTATTATTGGACGGCGCTCTACGAAATCTACATACTCCTTGGGATTAACAATTCTACGTCTCCGCGTTTTAGCTCGCTGGGCTGATTCTAATGGAACACACATTCTCGTCTCATCTCGATATTTGCACGGCTCTCTCGCGATGCCCCTCTCTCGAGGTGCACGAGGGGAAGCGTCGCGTTTTAATATATATTAGTCATTGTAAAAATGGTACACTCGGCGCGAGAGTACGAAGGGTGACACGAGCATCGACGTAAAAATGTCATGAACACCTTGGACTAGCTTCTTGATTCTGTAGCAAAATATCGAT